CTCCTGTGACACTGACTCTCCCAGATGTTTGGGTTATTAACTCCACATACCAGTCAGGTGAAATACGAAGTGCTTCTGAACTTTGAGCATCACATCTTGCACTGTGTCCTTCTGCAAAGAGATGGGAAGAACATTTTCATCAAAGCTCCCAGCAAGGCACTGTAGCCAGGGAAAGCAGTCTTGGAGCCTGTGTATCTGCAGGTTTTTCCTAATAAAAAGTTCTGTTACTGGACAAGGCCAGTAACCTTACCCCTCAGCCTACCCCTCTGGCCACTAATCTTCAGGAGTTTTCAAGGCCCTTCAGTAGCTGTTGTTGTCTGAGGTGGCTCCTTGAATGGGGGTTTCTTTGATTTGTGTTATGTGCCAGATACTCGAGTAGGTACAGCGGGTAGCTCTGTGCTTCAGGACAAACACCAAGTTTAGGCTGCTGCCTCTTTTGCACTGGATGTGCAAATCTGGTCCTCCATACTGGTGCTGTCCTTCTCTTCCCTCTGCGTGCACCACCCTCCCCTGCTGAGTTGACTCCATGCTGCCTCTCCTTCACACATCTAGTTCCACACTTGCTTTGTGTGGTCAAGTCCTCTTCCTTTCTTCACAACTGAATTTGGGTACAACTTTTGATTAAACCTACTCTGTGCCTTCCAGTTGACTCTCCTTCCATTCTGTCTTCATAGTGAATTGGAAAATATTTGCATAAATGTCTGTTGTCTCCTGCCAGGTGTGTAGTTATGTGAAGTCAGGAATCAACCCTTCTAAGTTGCTTTCCCTGAGCACAGAGCTCAGTATATCCTATAGCTGCATGGTGAAGTTGAGACAGAGGGAACACCAGGCTTGTGATGATCTCCATTGTGTACCTCTTGGCCAACTCATTATCTTAGGGCTGCCATAGACGACCCAGGTTCTAAACCTAGAGTCATAAAGTTGTCTACCTCTGGGCATCCATTGAGGCCTCCAGTCTCTTAATAACTTTGGCCTACTTTCTGTGTGTTTATATGTATCCTTTCAGCTCACACATTGGCATATCAGTTCCTGGAATTAGACAAGTTGTCACTACTTCAGGTGACATTTGTAGGGCCAGGCACATAGTAGGTACTCAATAATTATTTGTTGAATTAAGAAATAACAGGTCAAGATCAGATGTCTGAAAGATGGGGTTGGTTGGTGACCCTTCTGTTAGTTTCACCTTTGTCGCTGGAGCCTAAGCCCTGAGCCCTGGGCCCTAGGCCCTGCCTTCACTCTCTGCTCTCTTTCTCCCAGGCTCTTCCTTGGTCATCTATGTGCTTCCTCATACATTGTGCTCATTCCATAGATCCTGGATAGAAACCCCTCATAGGGAGCGGAGGCCATGGGAAGCTGGCAATATTTATGAGATCCTCTCATGGACAGAGTCAGATTAGACCTAGGTTATCTTTTCATGTTTCTGTTGGGTCCCTAGGCCTGCTGGCATATTAGGATGCTATACAAGTGCAGATTCCAGGCCATTTCCAGGTCACTGTCTAAGTGTGGTAATCTATAGTGGGCTTGGGCAGCTGTGTTTTAGGTTGTCTGTGATCTAGTCTTCGTTCTCAGAGTCTCCATGTCACTGAGCATCGGGCATTATTTTTGATATACTACAGGTAAGTGTATTGACAACCACATTAACTTACCAACTCAGAAGGGATCACATTGTGCTCAGTTCTGTCAGGAAATAAAGTACAGAGAAATATTAGGCCCATAGGAAAAATACAACTCAGGTGTGGTGTTTATCAGTTCAGGTGCTTCTTAGTAAAAGTCAGTTATAAATTAGGAACTTCTGATTTGAAGGGGCAAATTGTAGATGAAGTTTAAGGAGCCTGTGAGCAAATTTTGATTCTGATTTCCTTGTAATTATCCAAGTATTTCCTGAGCCTTATGCATTACTGTGCTCATGTGTTAGGTATCTTTTTATTTTTTTAGTACCAGGGATCAAACTTGGGACCTTGTGCTTGTGAGGCAGGTGGTGGACCCACTGAGCTAAAACTCTTGTCCATGTGTTGGGTTTCTTATTGTCTCTTACACTGATAATAGAATTACATAGTCATAGGCAGTACCTTGAAACTTCAACGTTTACTGTTATTTTGCCACTTGAAACCTTGCCAGCAAGTTTCATGATTAAAACCTGAAATAAGATGAATATGCATTAAATATAATACCTTGGCCTGGCTACTCAGCAAACATGCCACATCGTTAAGACGACCATTGGGGTCCCAGTTCACAACCAGAGTGAGGTCTCTGTGGCCTCGTCCTTCAAGGCCAGAGTTCACACTCCGTTTTTCCCATGGGGACTGAGCTTGGCTTCTCCCTTCTCCTGGTGACACCCAGGCAGTCAGGGTTTGGTAGCAGCTCATCCCGTTAAACATTGTTCCTGGAAGTTCCTTCTCACATCTCAGTTTCTGTTCATTTCTTAGCACTTACCGATTTTCCCTTAGCAAAACTCTCACCATCCCTTTTTATGGTAGTCCAGTAAACGACCTGAACGCTGTCTTTCTGGAAGTTGAAGGTTGTCTTGGAGATTTTTGCCTCCAGGTCACCTGACTGTGGTAAAGAAGTTGTCGATTAGAGTGTGGAGAGGAAGAGGGACTGTGGATATTGTGTCATGAGACACTCAGGTATCATTCACAGCAGAGGACTTACTGATTGTCTTCTATGTATTAATCACCTAGCTGGGTGCTGGCAAAGCTGGGATAGCCACACAGACGAGGCCTATTTCCTGGTGTTTTCTATCTCATTTGCTTCCTTGGAGGGATAGTGGGGTATGTAACATGTGAAATTTTGCTTTTCTATTACTGTATGCTTTATCAAATTTGAAGCCTGTTTATCTCTAAGCCTTTGTGGCAAGACAAGTCTGAGCTGTTCATTTAGGGACATTGATAAGAATCACATATTGCTTCAAACTGGGTCTGGCACGCGGAGGTACTCTTTGTTGTTACTGTTTTTTGTTGTTGTTGTTATTGTTATTATTATTATTCTTGTGGTGCTAGGGATTAAACTCAGAGCCTCATGCATATGAGGGTTCCCTATCCCAATCAGTCACCTTTGAAGTTGTTACTTCCTTTTACCCCTGATAGGGCCAAGAGCAAGTGAATACTTCATATGTAGGTAAGTCCCATACTAGTGTTCCTTCTAAGACTGCTGCTAAATTAATTCTTTCCTTTAGGCCCTCAGTAAAATGGGATAAGAATACCTCTATCCAAGTGCTGTTGTGAGGATAAAATGACGTTAATCATTTAAATCTTTACATTTAGATGTAACGATACCCATCTATATACCTGATACACAGATGGCACTCAAAAGAATGTTACCAGGCGTGGAGACACATACCTGTAATCCCAGCTACTTGGGAGGGTAGGCAGGAGGATTGTACATTTGAGGCCAGCCTGGGCAACTGAGCAAGAGCCTATCTCAAAAATTTAAAAAGGGCCAGGAATGTGGCTCAGCAGTGCAGTGCCTGCCTGGTTCTGAAAAAAAAAAAAAATTGACTTCTATTCTGGTACCAAAAAAAAAATTTTGAAAAATGGCTGGAGATGTAGCTCAGCGTGAATATGAGATTCTTGGTTCAATCGTCAGGTACCAAAGAAAACTTTTTTTTCTGCTTTCTGTTGATGGAAACATCTGATCATTGAGGGAAAATGTCTATCTGTGGCACTGATCAGATAGATCTCTGGAAGAACATTCAGAACCCATTTGCACGCTCACCTTACTGTCAGAGGCTGGCAGGTCTGGCTGATGCACAGATCAGAGTTGTGCCACCATAGATGATGCTTACCTTGGCAGAGCTCAGCTTGGCATTTTGCCTGACAACTGTCTTGATCATTGTGCTGGACAAAATTATGGAAACATTGGCCTCTTTAGGATGTGGAGGGAGACGACCTCCAGGCACAGGCACTGCTGTCTTGTTAAAGAGGGCTTCAACCTGGAGAGAGAAAAGCAGAAAAGTCTGTCAGCCTGGGAGACAAGGCCAAAGTCAAGGCCCTTGGAAGTCTGGCTGCAAAGGTGAAGGGTGAGGTGGCCTGGTGAGTGCTGCACTGGGTGTGCATGACAGGGAATGGCAGTTGACCTCCTGGCTGTGTTGGGTCACCCTGGGGGGAGTGGTAGGTCAGTGGTGACTTGATTATGGCCCCAGTGCATGGCAGTTTGTAGCAGCCAGACCTCTTATTTTCTAAGAGAAGCCACAAATGCTTATTTTCTAGGCAGATTCCCCCATTTACTTGTGGATTCCGGGAAGGTGTATCTGTATCCACAGTCCTTCCTTTTCCTGACCTGTTTTGCCAGCCTAGGAGGCCCTGCCTTCTTCCTTACTTAAAAGCCCATTTTGCCGAGAAATAATTTCTCAGATAGTTTAGCCTCCATTAATCACCTCTTTTTTTTTGTGTGCACATTCTCCCCTCTGCTTATACAATGGAAATATCACGTGGTGGAAAAGTTGGAAAATTTAGTTAAATGGGAGGAAAAAAGAGATTCCTACCTAAAATCACTGATCTTCCCACGTGTCTTGCGTGCATACTTCATTTTTATAATACTTTGAAAAATTAACAGAAATGCATAGCATTTCTATATCCTGTAACTACAAACTTTAAATATATGGCTTGATCTTATCCTTGGCTTCACTACTTCCTTTTCGTTTTTCCTATCCTCATCACAAATCACATACAGACTTCAATGTCTGTACTTAGGTTGTTTCAGATTGGCTTATAGAAGTAGAGCTAGCTAAGTCTAAAATGTTGCCTCTTGTCTGCACTTTTTTCTCATTCTGCCCTCTTGGAGGCTGGGAAGAGTTGACACTTTCTGTTTTGTTCTGTATTGTCTATTAAGTGTCTCGACCTAGGCTGGGCAGATTCCAATGGTTAAGACATGGCTGTCTTTGTTGGAATGCCTCTCAGGAGATTGGCTGTGGGACTTAAATAGGAACAGAGCACACAACTGCACCTGGGGGATGGCACTCAGGTGTTGCTAGGAAGGTGTGAGGATCTGAGAAGGGGCTGATAGCTGGTTTGTCTTATCCTGCTCTATCTTATGAGGTCAACTAGGCCTCCAGCCTTTGCCCAGAAGCCATCATAAAGACAAAGGACACTTACACAGTAGAGGATTGAAAGGCCTTTTGCTTCGGTCTTTGCTGATTTTATGCGGAACTGGAATAAGCCGGTGGCTGCAGAGGAGAGGAGAGAGAAATGGAGAGAGCACAGCCATTGCTAATAGCCACTGTGCCCCGTACTCTGTGCCTGGCACTGCCCTCCTGACCAGTACTAATGTGGACAGCTCCTGTTCTCTGGGTTCCAAGCAGAAAGCCAGTTCCCTCTCTGATTTCTCCCACGTCTGCAAGGGTGCTGTGGGAAGGAAGCTCACAAGGATTTGGCCCTACTCTCACGCGTGAGAGCCTCTATGGAGAGGAAAAGATTTGCATGCTTTCCTGCTTCATCTGCCTTGCAGTTGCTGACACACTGCGTCCTGTCATCCCCATCTCTCAGCATGTGTTTTGGAATTTTGAGGGCTTTGTTAACTCTCAGGCTCCCAGTGGGGAAGCTTAGCACTGCTCTTTGCTCAGACTCTGTGCAGTTATGCACTTACTGGGCTGGGATGCTACATGGTCTCCCGAGGAGCTCTTGGTTCTCTTTCCTTCTTGGGAGTAAGTTAAAATGGTCTAGAGAAAACAGTGATCTGGGACCTTCGTTCTCCTGAGGGCTTGGAGAAGAGGCCAGCTGGAGGCCTGCAGGTGTGGGACGTGGTGTCTCAGCCCTGGCCTGCCTTAAGGAGTGATGGCTGCCTCTCCACTGATGTGAGCTTCCCCGAGGAGGTTGTTTGTACTCACAGTTTTTGCACTCGTTGAAATCACTGAGAACAATGCCACAGGATTCTGAGTTGTCAACCTATGAAATTATGAGCTGTTAGCTTTGACAAAGATGTCCAGTTAGCCTGTTCTCTTTAGTCCATCATCCCTTTCTCGCTGTCCTTTCCCTCTTTGTCCTGTTTTCTTGGCCTCCTTTTTGGCAAAAGTCATCTGTCCCTCCCCCCAGCCTGAGACATTGCCAGACCTGCTTATGGGCAAGTTGGGCCAGAGGGACTGCTTAGCGTGGGAACTCCAGAGGGCCTGATGTTGTGTTCCTGAGTCTCTCCTAGCATCAGGTCCCTTCTGAGGCAAGGGCTCCTCCTTATCTTTCTCCAGTGATGAGGACCTCCAAGGGGGTGTCCTCCCATTTCCCAGGACTTACGTTCTTCTGTAACTCTACTGACAACACTTTAGGCACCGTGTCCTTCAAGGGCAGAGAAACAGGAAGAGACGCAGTATCTGTGAGTCTAGGAAAGATGCATGTGTAAAACAGTGTGATTCTAGGGTTTCTATTATTTTATTTTATTTTGTACTGGGGGTCGAACTCAGGACCTCGAGCTTGCCAGGAAGGCGCGTGTGTGCCACTGAGTTATATTTCCAGCCCTGGTGTCTCTAGATTTGCCTAAACATTGGCAAAACTGAAAAGCCATTGCTGAAATGGCCCTAATGATATTCTGCTGCTTAACCTGGGTGCACACCTGAGCCTTTTAATCTTCATCATTACCCTTTAAGGAAGATGCAAAGATACCTGACAAAATGACCAAAGCACAGGTGTCTGCCCAGCAGCCCCACCTGGAGGAGGTTCACCCTTCAGATACGTGCGTGCTATTGGACAGACTTGTCTGCAACCTTGTTCACTGTGGTTAGGTGCAAAAGTTAATAACTGACAAGGGATTGGCTGAAGAAAATATAGTGCATATTCATGAGGGAATACTGGGGAGTAATAAAGAATGAAGCTGTTCATATACGGGATTAAATATACTCCCAGATTTTTCCTGATATATATTTATATATATATATCTTTAAAGATACCTATATCTATATATATATCTATATGAATGAAACAAAGTTCAGAAAAAGCTTGGATCCATTAGTTGTTTCCAGGGAGAATAACTAGCCAGTTGGCAGGTGTGGCTTGGAGAGACTTTTTTTTGGTACTGGGGGTTGAACTCAGACCTTGCTTTTGCATGGCAGATGCGGTGCCACTGAGCTAAATCCCCGGCCCAAGACTTTTTACTATATGGCTCACCCCCGCTAAATCCAGGCTAATGTATTGCTTGTGTAAAAAAAAAAAAAAGCAAAAAAAACCCCAAACTGCAGTACAGTTAGTAGGCAGAATGCAGGCTGTGTGAGAGAAGGTTATTCTCAAATACAGTGGGACATTTTTAAGCAGAGACCCTTCTCTGGGCCCATGTTAAAACCATTACATTAAACCAGCTCATCTCTGAGGGTGGTAACAGCAGGACATTCTGGCACAAAGACTGCTGGATCCGGAAAATGAGAAAAACGGTCTTACGTTTCTAATATCCGAAGGGTCACTTTGTTGGTATTGATATTTGTTTCCTCGATATCAAGGCTGATGCATTGGGTATTGTTTGTGGAAGCAGCAATTTTCAGATTTATTTCCAAGTGCACTTCAAATCCCACTATGTTGATGACGGGTCCAGCCACACTGTGGAGAGCAAAATACAGGTGAAAATGGGCCTGGCTTCAAGGCGAGGCACAGGCCAAGTGTTAAGTATTTTGGGGATCAGCCTCACATTTGATAATTAGCGTATGTGTTAATTGGAGAGAAGGAATAGCTGGTCCTTCCAGTCCTCATGCCCTGAGGCTGGCTGTTTTGTGGCCATAAGAGCATGGATCTGGGCTCATAGTTGACAGTTAATAAACATTTGACAGAAATCACTAACCTAACCAGCCTGTGGGAGGGCATCTGTTGATGGTACAAAACTGTCTGTTACAGGTTCACTTTTATGCCAGGCACTCAGGCTTTCTGTTGTGTGAGAGAAGCCCACCAGGGGCAGAGCTTAAAGTGGGAGGATTTGGAGAAGACCAGTGACTTCCTGACACCATGAGCAGTAGTGTAACAGACATTGAGTCTGAAGGCAGCCTGCCTGGGCTCAAATAAACACTGTCACTTCTGTGTTTCAACTGTGTGACTGTGAATAAAGGTAATTGCCTTTGCCAGTCTGAAGTGGTTTCTAATCTGGAAACAGGACTGCTTTTCTGATAAGGTTGTGGAGACGCTTTCATGAAGTCCTAGCTCATTAGGTGCCCTGCTTGTGCCAGGACAGTGAGAGGTATCAGTGCTGTATGTCTTAGTCCATAGAATGATCTCTCCCCAGTGGTGTCTTCCCGTGTGCCCACAGCTTACACTGTTAACACATCCCTCCCTCACGTTTATGTTTCCTGAGGACAGAGACCACCTTTTGTCTTTCCTTTGGGCCCACCGTGGCATCTGTCCCAGGGTGGTTTCTTAACTACAGATGAATGAATGCATGCAGGGATGTTTAAATTTGTAACTCCCTGAGGCCATTGAAGTCATCTCTGTATCTCTAACCTGCTAGGATAGTGCTTGCACAGAATGGGCTGATTCTCTACGGAGCCCAGAGTCCATCGAAAGTACATTTCACATAAGGTTTGTATCAATGCCACAATGGTACGTGTTCTCTGTGGTTTCTGCCTTCGTTACCCAGGTATGAGAGTTTGTGCAGATTTGCTTACGCTTTTTGAGGATAGGACCAGGGATTTAGCTCAGTGGCACCATATTTGCATTGCAAGTCCAAGGTCCTGAGTTTGATCCCTGGTACTACCAAAAAAAAAAAAGCGCTATTGGAGGACAAAGCTCTCCAGGGCCTTTCTCTAGCATTAGGCTGGGGAATAGGGGTAGCTGTGTATGGTAGCCTGCTCCTCCCGACTCTGCTCTACTCTTTGTCCTCTTAACCTAGCTCTTGAACTTTGGATCTTAGAGCCCCAGTCCTGTGATCCAGTGGATTGTTTTGAAAATAGGCTTACCCTTTTCCACCTATGGTAGCAACAGCTTTGGTCTTAACGTCAATCTCATCGTCCGTTATAGTTGTATTTAAGTCCACTGTATTCACGGAGTCAACGTTTAATCTGCAAAGTGGTAGCAATCAAGAGTCAATTCTGGCTCAAGAAATCAGCTGGACTGTGGGAGCAATATCTTTGAAATAGCTAGTTAAACCTCCCAAGCCACCACACCATCCATTCCTTTGATGCCTTACTTCCCTTACCCATCCAGTTCATTAAGCTCAATAAATCTTTTTATTTTTTATTTTTATTTTATATATTTTAAAGACAAGGTCTTACTTTGTAGTTCAGGTTGGGCTTGAATTGACTGTGCAGCCCAGGCTGGCCTCAAACCCACGGTGTTCCTTCTGCCTCAGCCTCCTGAGTGCTGGGAGTACAGGCATGGGCCCCCACAGTCGTTTTAAACTAGTCTTAATGGATTGCTGGGTGTGGTGGCACACGCTATAATGCCAGCACTGTAGGAAGCTGGAAGATCTAAAATTTGAGCCCAACCTATGTACCTTTGTGACTTAGTGGCACCCTGTCTCAAAAACAAATAAAATAAAAATGGACTGGGAAAGTAGCTCAGTGTGAAGGCCCTGGATTCAATCTCCAGCACTGAAGAAAACAAAAAACGAAAAACTTTATGGTATTTCCCCGGAGAGGGCACAAGTATATTGTTTTGTGAAAGGATGATTGATGCTTTCATTGGGATTGTTGGAGTTTGAACTTGAGTGTCCTAAATAAGCAGATTTTTTTGGTGTGGCAGCATCAAGGAAACACTTACCCCAGCAATACTTCTTTTAGCTCAATATTTCCCAGTGCACTTTTGAATGCTTTGGTGGCTTCTGCTGGCAAGACATCCTTCACCTTCCCCAAGGCAGAATCTTTGAGATTCTTAGCGCTTCCAGCCACATCATTCACGGGCTGGAGGTTGGGGAGTTGAGCACTATCAAGGAGCCCTTTTATAGGGCTTTGGCCTGCTCCAGACGACAGCAGGCTGCCCACACCCAGATTATCAGCAGTTTCACCAACTTTGGAGAGGGACGGGAGCTTTGGAGACTTGTCACCCTTGCTGTTCAAGCCTATGATGCCACCAATCCCGCCATCTCCCATTTCTAGGAGTGAAGTAACGTCTAGCAGCTCGAGCACGCCAGTGTTTTCCATCATGTTTATCACTTCCCCCAATGCTCCGATTAGGTTAACCTTCCCACACTTCACCAGCTTCTCAACTTCCAGGGGTATAGTGGCATTCAGGTCTGAAAAAGATCAAGAGACAAGTTCCTGCTGTGTGCCGCCTACTCAGTTCAGCCAGCTGGGGGAACTGGCACTTTTAAATTGTGAGGCACATAGGAACTGTGCATTGTGCCTTCTAGAAAGATCCACCCCTGCTACTGCCCACTCCAAAGGTGGCCTTGTGTCCCTCTGTTAAGGGCTCACATTTGTGCCTATACTGAGGCCAGTCTGGTGTTGAGCATGTCTCATCTAAAGTGATTTGAGCGTGCCAGAAAGGAACTTAGATTGGGTTTTGAACCTTGCGGTCTAGGGCACAGAGGCCAAGTAGCCTAGGCCAGGGTCTTTACGGTCTTGGATTCCAGTCTTTGGACCTGTTTAGGAGCTAACAGCAGGAACTGCTGCATGGGCTACAGGTGGAGGATGAATGAGATGATGGCGGATTGTAAGTGCTGTGTAAAGTGGGAGGCAGCTGGGGAGATGGTCGTGGAACTGACAGGCCAACCCTGCTCCACCAGCTCCCAAGGCATACTGGGGCCTCCTCATGTCTGGTAACCACTTGTTCCGAAGATGAGACCAGCCCCTTTGGCTTAGAAATGAGAAGCCTGTGCAGGGGGTGTCAGGACCAGGCAAAGCCATTCTTACTTACACTCATTGATTTTCTCGGCAGACAGGAAGTACTTGGAGGCAGGTGCACATTGGCCTTCTGGGGTCTTAGGTGACTTTTTGCTGGGTGGGAAGCTGTTTTGGGCTGAGGGACTTCTGAAAAGCAGTTCGGATGGCAGAGGAACAGGGGGAGGTTCCACATATTGCACAGAGGATAGCGGGGAAGGAAGGCTTCCTACTGGGGGTGGTTCTAGCACGTCAAGTGCTCCAGCTTGCGTGGCCAGCATGGTGGCCAGGGCCCAGAGCATCCACATCCTGGTGGCTGATACCTGAAAAGGAGTGCTTCATCAGACACCTCATTCACCATGGATATGCCTGTGTACAACAGCTTTCTGGCTGTCAGAGGAAGACGCCATTCACATGGCATATGCTAGAGTCTGAATACTGCCTGTGGGAACATGTCCCACTACCCAGAAATTATTGTCCTAAGGAAGGATCCTTTGCCTACTTCTGTTTTGACTTTGTAGGAATGTCCTCTAAGCACACTGGTGGTAGCACTTAGATGCAGGCCATAACCTGCCCAGTGGCCTGGGCTCTCTGATCACACACCCTCCGGCCACCCTCCTCATCAAGCACCTCTGCACTGTCTTGATCACCAACTGGAAATGTGGAAACCTTGCACTAAAGACACTTCCGAGTGGAGCTCAGTAGCACACCCCTGTAAACCCAGTACTCTGGGAGGCTGAGGCAGAAGGATCACGAGTTCAAGCCCAGCTTGGGCAGCTTAGGGACTTGAGACCTACCTCAATATAAAAAAATTTAAAAAGCCTGGGGTTGTAGCTCAGTGTGAAGGCCCTCGGTTCGATCCTCACTACCCGCTCCCTCCAAAAAAAGACAGTTTTGCAAGGACGCCTGCCCAGCAACTGTCCAACTTTGGACCATGGCCACTTTCATTATTAGCCTTTTTTTTTGGTAGCAGGAATCGAACTTGGGACCTTGTACTTTTGAGGCAGGCAGCAGAACCACTGAGCTTAATCCCCAGCCCCCCTGTCACTATTAATTGATTACTGTTTCAAAGGATCTTCTGTGATCTTCCTCCATTGTTCTTTTTTTTTTTTTTTTTTTTCCAGGGAACATTGTTCTTTTTTTTTTTTTTTTTGTACCAGGGATCAAACTCAGGACTTGGCGCTTGCCAGGCAGGTGCTGTGCTGCTGAGCTACATCCCCAGGCCCCTCCATTTACTTTTTTGTTTGCACTGGGGATTGAACTCAGGACTTTGTGCTTGTGAAGCAGCTGCAATGCCACTGAGCTAAATCTGTGGCCCTCCTTTGCTTTTTTTTTTTTGGTATTGGAGATCAAACTTGGGATCTTACACTTTCGAGGTAGGTGGTGGCACCACTGAGCTAAATCTCTGGCTCCTCCATTTGCTTTTACAAACATCTTAGCCAGTATGGTGGCACATGCTTGTGGGAGGCTGAGGCAGGAGGATCACCACAAATTTGAGGCCAGCCTGGCTACAAAGTGAGTTCAAGGCCAGCCCAGACTACATAATGAAACCATGTCTCAAAAACAAAACACTTCCCCCAATAAATAAATAAAAGCATCTCCTTACTCCAACTTCTTTAAATACACTTACAATTGGGCCTCAGATTTAGCTCAGTGGTTCTGCCACCTGCCTCGCAAGCATAAGGATCCGAGTTCGATCCCTGGTACCCAAAAAAAAAAACAAACCCAAAACCCCCCCAAAAAACCCACTTACAGTTTACTATGGCCGGCATGTCCTCAGTAATATGTGATCCTATTTTCAAATAAATAGTCTTTAGAGAATCTTTCTGATTATTTAGGTTTATGCTGAGCATAAACATTAACATAAGCAAATAATCTGTTGTCAACATCAAAAAGAAGGTGGCTATGGGGCCGGGGATTTAGCTCAGTGGTTCTGGCGACTGCCTCGCAAGCGCAAGGACCTGAGTTCGATCCCCGGTTCCAAAAAAACAAAAACAAAACCAGAAAAAACAAAAAGAAGGTGGTTAAGGCATAAACAGAACCAATGGCAATTCATCACCTTGAATAAATTAGTCTTTTTCAGTAAAATCCCTTTTTAAAATCATTTTTTTCATTTTACTCTCTTCTGTAAGAAATTTGAACTTTATGTCACATGACATCTAAAATCTTATGCCTGTGATGGAGTTTATGGCAGTACTGTTAAACTTTGAGCAGATCAGAACTCTTGGAGTTCATTGCCCGCTCTCTAACATCACATAATAAGGGCTGGGTGTGGTGTTGCGCGCCTGCAATTCCAGGACTTGGGAGGCTGAAGCAAGAGGATTGCCAAGAGTTTGAGGCCTGAGCTGCATAGAATTCAAAGCCAGCCTGAACTCCGTAGTGAGACCCTGTCTGAAAAAACAAAAACAAATGGGGCCAGGGATTTAGCTCAGTGGTTCCACCGCCTGCCTCGAAATTGCACGGACCCGAGTTTGATCCCCAGTACCAAAACAAACAAACAAATCACTTAGCAGGGATTGGTAACCGCTTGTTCGAAGCTGGGCAGAGTGCTATTCGGCTCAATGGCCGAAGGACACCACTAGCCTCTAAACTCAGGAACCCCGGTTGTAGGTCCTTACATGACCTGCCCTATGCTTGTGCCTACCTCAGGATTTCCACTTTCTCCTTGGGCGTCAGATGCAGTAAGTTCTTACCTTGCTCAGTTGATGATGGTTAAAATGATCAGAAGCTGCTTCTCCTCCTGATCTTTTCTCTGAACTACTGATGGCAGAGTTGCTCCCCATTTTATAGACCAAAGCCTCTTGGAAAAGTCATCGTCAGAGAAAATGGGACACGATCCAGATATGATAAGGGTGCCATGGGGTAGGCTGCCTTCCAAAGTCAGCACCTGTTCATTGTTCAACATGCTGGTGTCTTCTCCAGAGGTGTTCAGAGGGCTTGGAGCTTCTTGTGGGGGGAGACAGGCCATGCATCTGTCCCCTACTCAGTTTACATCCATGTGTGTGTGTGTGTGTGTAGAGGATTTAATCTAGAGAGTGCTGAGTTATACTTCCAGTCCTTCTTATTATTTTTACAAATTTTTATTTAAAAAAATTTTTTTTTTGGTTTTTTGAGACAGGGTCTCACTATGTAGTTGAGACTGACCTGGAACTCACTGTGTAGCCCAGGCTGGTCTTGAACTCACAGCAATCCTCCTGCCTCAGCCTCCCGAGTGCTGGGATTACAGGCATGCGCCACCACACCCGGCTATTTAAAAAATTTTTGAGATGGCACCTTACTGAGTTGCCCAGGCTATCCCTAAAATTGTGATTCTCCTGCCTCAGCCTCCCAAGTAGCTGGGATTAAAAGTACCACACTTATTTTACACATTCATAGGCCTGGTATCTCAGATCTATGAAGGTGCTGAGTGAGTGTGCAAGGTTGGAAGCCCTTTTGGTGCTTGCCTGGTGCCCAGGGCATAGTGGCACTCAATATTGAGTGAGCAACCCCACACAGGATCCCAAGCAGGGCTCCACGATAGAAGTGTGGGGTCCCTGTGGACAGAGTGTTCAGGGATGGCTTCCTGTCAGGTACTGGTGTTGCTAGCATGAGGGATGTGAAGATCCTAGCAGATCTAGGGGGCCTAGAATGTGCAGAGAGCCTGAGCAAGGAGACAGACCAAGGATGGAGGCCTTGAGGATGTCCAGCGGGGAGTTCGATCTCTGCCTCACCCCCAATTCCCTTTCCTGTGGAAGAAACATGAATGGTGTCAATAACCTGCTGTGCTTCTCTGCAGTATAGAGCATTTGCCTAGCATGTGTGAGGCCCTAGATTCGAACCCCATTATCAGAGAGAGGAAAGAAAAAAAAAGAAGGAAGAAAGGAAGGAAGAAAAAAAAAAGAAAAAAAATTCCAGTCTCTGTCCAAACTCACTCTCACCTGCTATCTCATTTAATGGCTCCCCAAGTTCTAGAACCTGATTTCTGGGGCTCACGCTTTCCTTCTATTTCCAGAGAAGGCCACTAGGTTCCTATAGCTGTAGGCTTTGTGAGATTTTTCTTGTCCTTGCTGCCTGCTGTTTGATGCCATCACAGCGTTCAAAGCAAGAGCCCTGGCAATGGAGCTATTCCAATGGGTGACCCTGTGTCTCTGCAGCCCTGCTGGGTCTGTGCCTTCAGGCAGGCTCCCCATGTTGGGTGCAGGGTGCTCTCCAGCCTCACTGGGGGGGTCTCAACCTCTGATGTCAACTACAGTTCTTTTTGCCAAAGAGCCCATTTTGGGCACTGCTGAAATGTCAGATACAAAGAACAAATGACAGTTGACCTTTTCTCAGAGAACGGAACTTAGAGCTTTTTACACTTAATAATCAGTAGAAGACAAAACGCAGCGGTCCAGGGTCTTATTTTTCTTGGACATTTGAGGGAACTTGAGTCACCTTTTAGAAGAAATCTGTGCCATCAGAGGTGGATGTGCCCTTTGATGTGTTCAAAGAAAGATTCCAGCTCCAGAGGTGGAGAACGGGCACATCCGGGAGGCAGCCTCTAATAGCCCTCGGAGCCTTCGGGTTCTTTGTGTTTCTCTCATTCAACATTAGGAAATAGGGCAGCTATTGCATCCCACTAATCCAGGATGTGCAGAGAGTGTCTCACGCGGGGTGGCTTATCAGGCTGGAAGCAAAGGCTTAACAAAGACCCGCTTGTCCCAAACACTAAGTGATTTGACCTGCTCACTCAAGGCTGGCCATGGCTTGACTGGGATCACAACTGTCACTGATAAGTGGGTGCCCATTCTTAATGGCCTCTCTATGACGGGATCACAATAGACTTGGTTGAGTCCACGTTGTCCTGTTGACGGACATATCAGGATTTTGACCTTTCTTAGGTGTTTCTTTAATCACACACACAATGCACACACTTGTGGACATGCTTATCCTTTTGTCTTTTTATGTTGTTGTCTCTGTCTGGTCACCTGGAACACAAAGGTCGTATTCAGCACTCTTGTCTCAGTGTTCCCTGCTGTAGTGAATCTCAGATCTTCATAAGGACTTCTTGTCCCTAGTCCCTCTGAAGTTGCATGGAAAATTTGGTGTTATTGTTCACTTCTGCAGGTATACCTTTAATGAAATTTTTGTTTCTTTTCTTGTAGTACTAGGGATAGAACTCAGAGCCTTTGCACTGAGCTACATCCCAGCCCTTTCTAAATTTTTAATTTTGAGGCAGGGTCTTTTTGAGTTGCTAAGGCTGGGCTCCAACTTGTGATTTTCCTGTTTCACCCACTCAGTGTGCTGATTTTACAAGCATTTTGTCACCACCTGGCCCCTTTAGACTAATGAGGTTTTTGGGGCCAGACAGACCTTATAGTGAATTTTGATTTAACTGCGTACTGTTGTATGGCCTTGTGACAATATCTAAATTTTTAAGTGGGTTCTGTAGTGTAGTGGCTATCATGTTTGCCTCACAATATCCAAATTTTCTGCCTTAGTTTCCTTGTCTGTAAAGTGGGGATGATATTGTACCTATCATAAGGTTTCCATGGTAATTAAACATGATGAAATGTGTCAAGCTATTAAGTGCCATGCCCAGCATAGGTGAGTATTTATTATCATTTCATCACCGTTTACTATACCATTAGATATTTTCAGGTTTTTTTCCCCCCTCAGATTTACTTGTCAATTCAGCATATCTAGATTTTGGCAACTGTTTACATCTTGTTTGCAGCAATTAAATATGATTTGGGAGTTATGTTTGTTTTTTTACATAAAACAAAATGGATCCTTTATAGGACTGTGGAAGACAGTCTTTCTGTTTTGGTACCGGGGATGGAAAGGAAGACAGTCTTAACCTCTCTCTCAAGTTTCACTTCAGTGAGAGGACACCATTTCTTGACACATTCGACCAAAACGCTCTGCATGAACCAACCTTGTTGGAAAAGCGTAAGAGGTTTCCAAAGCCCAAGTGTCTGCCCTATGACACGCTTGCAGATGTCTCTCTTTTGATTCTGCTCCTTTTCCTTCCAGGTACCCACAGATGTTGATACCCAGGGTTCCATCTGCGGTATCTATTCTTTAAGTCACACTTGAATATGTTTCTGTCAAATGGAGCTCTTCGTGCTTTTCAGAGAGGCGTATGGATGATGGGCACTTTGCCTCTGCTTCTTTCCCTCTGGGTGCCTCTTTCCTACCCACTGGGTACACATTGCTACCAGTAGGCATCTTTTTCTCAATGTGCAACTGGTTGACTCCTTATAGCTGCAAGTGTCTCTGGGGGCATTTGCCTGGGGACTGAGCCGGCTTGGGTTTCACGTGGAGGATAACTAAAGATGCCGAGGAGGAAGCTTATGTGTCATAGAAATCACACTGGAACTGGGCCCAGAGGGCTGAGGCCAGAATTAACAGTCCCACTAACGAGCACTCAGAAAATGCTCCCACCCTTATACAACCTGCCACCACCACCACCACCGCCGTCATCGCTGTGATCGTCATTACCGTTGCCATCATGGGCAGCAGCCCTACCGTCTGCACTGTCCCGTTTAGAGTTGAAGAAAGGAGCTCAGAAAAGTTGTTACTATTTTATGGAAGTGGCAGGGCTGGTGGGGTGGGACATGGCTCAGTGGTAAAACACTTGGCTTAGCAAGTGTGAGGACCTGGTTTCCATCCCCAGCACTGCAACAACAGCAACAGCAAAAAATGGCGAGGTTGGGATTCAAACCCTGGGGTGACTGGGATTCAAACCCTGGGGTATACCTCTTCTCTTCTTTTTTTCTTTTTCTTTTTTTTTGTTTGTTTTTTTGAGACAGGGTCTCACTGTGTAGTTGAGGCTGACCTGGAACTCACTATGTAGCCCAGGCTGGTCTCGAACTCATAGTGATCCTCCT